GCACATTCACCAAGACGTTTTGTGATATTTATAATGTGTTTTATTTGCATTTATTGAGCAGATGCTGCTACTGACCTCAGTGCCGTGTTTACAGGTGTTCCTTCAACAGCAAGAATTGTGTGTGCTTTGCTTTTAGTCATGAAGCTATCTACACCTCAGCTTACTTCACCTCGTTTCCATTGTCTCATAGGTATAAAAACCAGGTGCCAATAAACGTCCATGCAAACCCTGAGAAGTATATCATCGGAAGCCGATATGGAATGCACACTCTGGAGATAAACGCGTAAGAGACATCAGAGTTCGTGTGTGTCACCTGAGTCGCTTGGGACTCCAGTTGACGACTGTTCCCCCTTCTTCCCAGTGCAGCACCATTGCGATCGGGGGTGGTCCCATCCACTGCTTCTTTTGGTGCACACCTAAGAGGGATACGTGTGACATCCTTACCAAGCCCACATTACCTCCCAAAGTGATCTTATTTGAATTTAGTCAGAGAAGATGAGAAAACATTCATTTGTATCTTTTTATTTATCCTTTTATACATGCAAGAGTTTTTCTTAGACATAAATAAGAAAATAAGTTACATAAATAGGCATTTATATTCAGTTATCCTTTCAGAGTTCTAAATCAGCATCATTGTTATACAATTAATGATATGCCTTAATCAGTAAAGGCTATGAAGTTTGGGGTTGGTGCATTGAAAGTTAGCTGGACTTAGAGAAATTGTTCTTTCCTTCAGCTCACCAGGAACCGCGGGAAACTATGCACCCACCCTGTCAACCCGTAGATGGATACGGGGCCAGACACTGGGATGTTTTTAAAGCAAAATCAAAGGCAAAATTTGAAAGCAGAATCCACATCAAAATTTCAAAGTCCTCAATGGTTTTTCTTGTCTCCTAATATGGTTTTGAAATCCAAGCCTAGTTACGTGGGTGAAAAAGTTAAACAAGCTCCCAGCATTTTCAGTTCAAATAAAACCACAACATGCTGAGATGTCAAAGTAAAATTTACATCTTTCTGATCTCAAGAGATTTACAGCCTTCTCAGATCAGAACAGTTGACACAGGTGATACTGGGCTTCAGGCAGAACCTGGGGACCCTCTGACATTCCTCCAGGCACTGGTCCCGGCCCGAAGTCACATCCCTTCTGCCAGTGGGTGATTCTCCTGAGACAGCAGCAAGCTGTGTGGTTGCCCTATGATTAAATAGCCACGGGAAAGGAAACAGTACTGACCTTCCTGAGGTTCTGTTGATGTCTGTAAAATTTCGACAAGAATTAAGATTTTTACAAATGAAGTTAAACTCAGAGGAGCAATGAAAACACGGACACTGGCAGTGATAAGACACAAAACAGCCCGCTTTGACATCTCAGCCTGTCCGTCTCTCCGTGAGATCGCTCACTCTCTAACTCCAATATTAAAGACACCCCAATTTCTGCATTATGACTTAGAGGAACTTCCAAATGGTATATATTGTGTTGCGCTGTGGGCTGAAACTCCAGGTGTGGCCTGAATCTTTGTAGAACTAGGGGATAAATCACTTACTTGTACTTTGAGGCGAGAACGCAGAACCACACATTAGACTGAGCTGGGTCTGTTCTGTGGCTCAGGGAGGCTGTGGGAGTCCATGAGGACAGGCTGTTGCTTTCTCTCTCCATCACCCTGTAGCCTCCAGACTGAAACACCCTGAGGGGGTGAGCAGGGAGGCTGTGGCCCAAACACGCTCCAGGTCCTACCTGCTGCCAAGGTACATGGCCTGGCATTTTCTGCTCCTGATACAGCTTTAGACTAATTTTTCATCACACTGTTCACACTGTAATTTATGTGCTTGACACTTTGTTGACTTTTTTTTTAGACATTTTAAATGAACCCAAGCTAGGGTCACAGTGGACCATAGCTGTTCTCCTGTTCTGTGCTGCTAGCCTGAAATTGCAGTAGATCTATTAGCCTCTATAAAATCCCAAGACCTAGATCAAAGAGAGGAGCTTTATCAAGAGTCCCCAAGAGCCATGTGTTAGCCAATGATTTGGCATGTGTCGTGTTAGCAAAGAGATCCTTGAGGGAACAGCTAGTGATTACATTCAGCCTTCCGTATCCAGGGATGTGGGACCTGCAGATACCGAGGGCCGACTAAAATTTGCCATCTTACTTAGTAAGGGACTTGAGCGGATTTTAATACCCACCAGGGTCCTAGAACCAGCCTCTACACCGCTCCCCTCCCCGATGCTGAGGGCCATCTGTACCACGAGAGTCACCGCAGCAGGCACTCCTTTCCTTCTGTTCTTTCAGATGTGATTTTGAAGACACCGCTCAGTACCGGGCCTCCGCCATGAATGCTAAAGGAGAGCTTTCGGCGTATGCCTCGGTTGTGGTAAAGAGTAGGTTTGCTGGACTTGTTTTATTCATAGTGTATTTTTAAAAAAACTTACTCTCACTGCATATATTGTATATATGTATTTACCTGCAATATAATGTATATGTGCAGTCAAACTGGTAATAATCCTACCTAATAAAACTGAAAAAGGAAAAAAAAGCAAATAAATGTCCCATAATGCAAATGTCTTTGAGAACTGGTCAAGTCTATAGGACATTCCGAAGATGCAGGACCAAACCTACAAAGAACTGAGCAAGCTCAGGGGATCTGGATTTTCCTGGCAAAAACCAAACCAATTACCAACCAACCAAAATAGCAAACAAACAAGTGGGGAGGAAAGCAAAATGTGGTCCTCTCCAAGGCTAGACCAATTCAGACCGGCTCTAGAGCTGTGATGTCAATATGGCAGCCATCAGCCACGTGTGATTGTGGACCACATGCAATATGGGTAGTACCAAAATGAGATGTGCTTTAACTGTAAAATGCACATCATATTTCAAAGACTTTGTACAAACACAAAGAATGTAAAATATCTCACTAATAATATTTTAATGTTTATTTTATGTTGAGATGTCAATATTGTGCATATATTGGGTTAAATAAAACATATAACATTTTAAAAAAGATTTAATGAGATATATAGCTTTCAGCACTTGAGCAATTGTAACTTGGAGAATACTAATTAAATTACTATTGTGGAAAAGGCATGATGTCAGTAAACATAGTTCTCTTCCCTCATAAAAAAAATTTGTTCTCACTACTGAAAAATAGATAAGAAGCAGTTGATATGCATTTATGCTTTCTTTTTTAGGGTATAAGGGAGAGCTTGATGAGACTCGCTCCCATGCAGGGGTTTCCACCTTGCCACTCAGCTGTAAGTTTCAAATATATTTGCTAAGTGTTGTCTCTTTGAAATACTGCATTATAAGCTATTCCATAATGCTAAAATCAATGCATAGTATATTTTATAATAAATGCTAGTGTGTAGTAATAGTTACCTTGGTTAGTTTTATTTTTGTAGATTCTTTGGTTACTATATTCTCTTTCTGCATATAATTGCTTTGTTATGGTTTTATAAAAACCCAGATGTGATGGGCTAAAATGGCAAGTGCTTTTACGTCTTTCTGTGTTAAACTGAGAAAGATCATTATGCAAACCCGAGCAGAGTGATTTAACCGTGCGCATGCACACACACACACACGCACACACGCACACACACACACACACACACACACTGGGCTGTATCAGAGCAGTCTTAGTCATCCTTAAATATCCAGGTCAGCATCACCTCCTTGAGGAATCCGTGTCTGACCCCTGCCCCCCACCCACCCAGGGAGCCTGGGGCACCTCCATAGAGGCAGCTCTCTCACTGGACATTGTTAATGTTCTCTCCCACTGACCCATGAGCCACTCTGCCCAGCAAGGCTGGACCTTTTCCCTTTAAACCCCCACACCTGATGCAGAGTCATATTTGATGATGAATGAAGGAATAAATAATTTATTAAATGCAATTTAAAATAAGATCTGAATGTGGTTTAATGACAAATTATTAAAAATAGTCTGATCAGTAGTAATTTATAAGTTTGTGCACTTCAATCATTTCATCTATATCAGAATTTCATTTCATGGGAAGCAATACAGGTAAAATCCTTATGGCTGTTCAAATAATTAGACGCATACAACTGTTCAGCCTGAAAAAGATAGTCAAGCCTGAACTTCTTATTCTCCAAGCATGAAAAAATAAGTGGTAGTTTTTTAAATGGTTGATGAAAATACTTTCTCATGGGTCAACTATTCACCTAGCTGATTAATTTGATGTCCGTAGATGACATACTCCATCGGCTTCATGGAATGGCTCCTAATTTTAATATTCCAAGTTATAATCATTGGTATCAATCCCATGGGCACGAGGGGGTGCAAGAGAGGTGTGAGGGAGGAATACATTCCAAATCAGGTCCTTCTCCTGTCATTTGATTTATACTGAGATAGAATAGCTGGAAAATTTGAAACTGTGACTTCTCTCCAGTGTCCCTGGGAACAGCCTATTGGTCATTCCTCAGTCCTCTGCATGTCTCCTCATTCCCACTCCCACATCATCATCCATGCTTTTCCCATCGCCCCCTTCTCCATCAAGCCAGGGTCTGAAAACACAGCTCAGCCTTACTTCTCTAACTTCTTAATCTTTCAGAGCCTCCTCTGACTGGCTCCTGAATTGAGTGCAGTTGTTCCCAGCATAGAGAACAGAGGGCTCTTATTCATTCATTCATTCAGCTAGTATACATTGAGCATCTGCTGTGTGTACCAGTTTAGGTGCTTGGAATACGCTGGTAAATATCATCGACAAACTCCCTGCCCTTGGTCCTACACTCATAGTTACTACATATTGGTCAGTTGTGCCAGACTCTGTCCTAAGACATTTTTTATATGCATTGATTCATTTAATATTCTTCCAAAGCTTATGAAGTGGGTACCTTTTTGTCTGTGCTGTGCAAATGAGGAAACAATTTAGAGAGGTTAAATCATGGGTCCAGACCTCACTTAATGGTAGAACAGGGACTGGTAACCTGGTCTTTCTGATTCCAAACCAGGTCTATTCTAAACCAGGCGTTGGCAAATATTTTCTGTAAAGGACTAGGTTGTAAATACTTTAGGCTTTGTGGGCCGTATGGTCATGTCACAGCTATTCATCTCTGCCCTTGTTAACACAAAAGTAGCCACAGGCAGTAGGTAGATGAATAGCATGGCTGTGTTCAAATAAAACCTTATTTGTGAAGGTTATTGAAATTCAGATTTCCTGTGGCTCTTTCCATGTCACAAAATATTATACTTCTTTTGTTTTTTTTACAACCATTAAAAAACTTAAAACCATTCTTAATGGTACAAAGCAGGAGGCAATCCGGATTTGGCTCACAGATTTGCCAGCCCCTGACCTGAACCAGGCTCTCCTGGTAACCCTTATGGCTACTCCCTAAGGCAGCTTTGGAACCAGCCCAGCTTCCCAGTAAGCAAGATCTGTTCAAGTTTTGCTTTTTGATCTCAGCAGGTCATCCTCATATAAAAGCAGGGCAGAAGGGACACATGCTTCGAAGGGAAGTCATTTCCCTGGTGGTTCACACAAATTCCAGGCAGTCCCACGTATGGACTGAGAGTGCAGGTTCTGCAAACAGCCTGCCAGCGTAAGCCGGGCTCTGCGGGTGAATATGGGCAGTTATCTAGCCTCCCTGAGCTGCTGTTTCCTCCTCGATAACGTAGATACGATAATGGTACTTACCTGATGGGGCTACTGGGAGGCTTAATTGAAGCTGATGGATATTAAACACTTGGAACACTACTTGGCGCAAAATGAACTCAATAAATGTTAGCTTGCATTTTCAAATTAATTCTAAGAGGGCTCAGGAAGAGTGTTGAAATATGAGAGGACAGGCCCAAGTTTTAGAGTTAGGCAGTTACACGTTTGAACTTCAGTTTCACACATAATACCTTTGAAACCTTGGCGTTAGCCATGTATTATATTTGTGAATTTCTGTATCCCCATCTGGAAGAGAGGAAAAACTAGTATCTGTGCCATGGAGTTTAGATGGAGTTTAGATGACGTGTCAAATGGGAAGTTCCTGGCATGTAACAAGCCATCAATAAACAGTCGTTATTTTCCCAAACCCTTTCCGTTGAAAAAGGAGAAGGTAAAACCTAGGAGAGTTTACGATGCAGGTGTTTACTCAGTCTGTAGGTAAGGTATTTCTAAGAACAATATTTTAAATGTTTCCATTTTCTCCCATTGACATTTCTTATATATATTTTAAACCCAGATCATTAAAGAAACTGGAGCAACTTACTGAAAAACTCTGTCTTTATGGGTAATCTATATGGCTCTTTGTTCCAAGAGTACAGGCAGTAGCGTTTAAATGAACTCCGAATCTAAAATTTTAAAGCATGTATAGTGCAGCTGTATTTAAGTCTAAGCTAAATGGGGTATTAATTTACATTTTCTGTAAGGCATTAAACCTGACCTTTTAAATTCTGTTTATTATAATAGTAAAAATAAGCATTTAGCTTATCTGACCAATGAAGCAAGAATTCCCATACACAGAATTTCAATTTCAGCATAATGATATGTACAAATATGCTACATACTTCTTTTATAGGACTTAATTTTTGCCCAGATAAATCATTGCTAGGTCTTTGTTGTGATTGCTTTCTGCCTGTGCTTATTAAAATGCTTGCATCTCTTTGATGAGAAAAAAATGAGTTACTGATGTTTGTTTTTTGTTGTGCCCAGTTGGTGTGACCCCGTACGGTTATGCGTCCAAGTTTGAGATCCACTTTGATGACAAGTTTGATGTGTCTTTTGGGAGAGAGGGCGAGACGATGAGTCTAGGCTGCCGTGTAGTTATCACTCCTGAAATTAAACGTTTCCAGCCGGAGATCCAGTGGTACAGAAATGGTGAGCCTTTGTGATGAATTCTCATTTAGATTCTTATTTGCAAAGGGTCACTGACTGGGCTTGGCCCCAGAGCATGGAAGTTCTGTTTATCAGAGCTGGCAGAACTGGACATTAGAGGACATACCCTACTGGATGTTAAGAAAAGTTTTTTTAAAAAGTTACATATCAAAGTAGCAGAACTTTCATAACGTATTTGTGGAGATTTCCTATCACCAAGTAATATATGGAAAGGATTACAAAAAGTGTATTTTCGTTCTGTAAGTAGGATATACATTTATTTTGTAAGTTAACTTTATTTGGTAAAATAAAGTGAAGTCCAGGGGGACTGTGGGGCATGCCCATTGGTCCCCCAGCACGGTGGGTGGTGGTCGGCATGCTCACCAAGCAGTTGACCTGAACTTCAGTGTGCATGCGGGCACCGGGCATCTGGGCCATCCTGAGGCCAGGGCTGAGACCAGGACTTGGGCCCAGATTGAAGCCAATAATGGCAGTGGTGGCAGCGGCAGCAGCAGCATTTCTGGAGGACAGAAGCATGGGAACCCACAGTGGGAGGCCGGATTGCCTGTCTGTCCCCAGAACTCACATTGGTGGGATCTGCACAAATGCACTTCCTGGCCTGAGCACCATGACAGGAACTGCCAGCAGTCACGCAGTAAACTGTCAGTAAGAGATTACAGAAGAAAAGCATGTATGTAGACATTGCAGGAAGACACACAAGGCCATTGTTAGAATTCTTTGGAGTTTAGACTCTCTGGTTAGGAAAACTGCCACAACGTTGCAAAGCAAATACAGGCTTGGAAATAAAAACTAAGTTTAAAGATTGTCACATCCAATGAAAAAGAACACTGTTTTCATGTGAAAATTTGGAAGCAGTTATTAACAAGGAGGATAACTTTTAAATTAATTTTTCCTTATAATTGAAGATACAGTGACAGAATGCATAAACAGACAATATATAATACTATATATTACTACATACTATATGGTATAACGTTGTGTAATGCTATAACTATCTAACACTCTTAACAGCTACATGCATCAGCAGAAAGATCCTTCTTAAAATTAAAAAAAATCAAAACTTATTTGCAATCTTGCATTTGCAAAGAATGATGTTGCTTTCAGTTATATCAGTTTAAAAGGAAGTTGCTAAAAGTATAAATCTGATGACCTAGTAACTGAATTTGGAGAAAAGCAAGACAAAGTTATTGTATATTATCAATCAACATATCACATTAATAAAGTATTATTTTTGTACGTCAAATTATGGCATGAAATACTATTTTTTACAATTTGTATTACCCTACTATGTTTTATAAGTGATAAACTATTTTTAGAGGAAAAAACCTTATATTGTAGTACCTTTAACTTTATTTTTTAACTGTATTTTTTTTCCTCCGCTTTGTGAACCCTTGCAGTTTCATTTTGCACTGGGTTCTGCAGATTATGTGTCTGGCCCCAGGGCCCTCACTTCTGGTCTAGCATTTTAACCAAGATACATATAGCAGAATGGCACAAAGCCATAGAGACTTCCACTAATAGTCGGATAGCTTTCAGTATAGAAGCAAAGGAATACAAAAAGAGAGGTGGGGGAGAAAAGCGGGGAGAGAAGGGAGGAAGAAGAGAGTAATGGAGAAAGAAGTGAGTTAATTTGCTTACTGGTTTTTTTCCTCTAGGGGTACCTGTTTCTCCATCAAAATGGGTGCAAACACACTGGAGCGGAGATCGGGCAACACTCACATTTTCTCATCTCAACAAAGAAGATGAAGGTCTCTACACAATCCGTGTACGAATGGGAGAATATTATGAACAGTATAGCGCTTATGTCTTTGTTCGAGGTAAGACCTAGAGAAAGCAGAACACTCGAGAATAGTTTAAACACCGAGGCCGTATCAGTCTACTCAGGCATGTTTTTTGTAACGATGAAAAAGCCATTTGAAAATTCTTCCAGATAATGTGGCACAGGGATGTCACTGTCCTGTAAAATTAGGCCTGATATAAAAGGTTAACCCTGAAGGCACCGACCCAGAGGTGACCAGTTCCAGACTATGTTACTGTCACTAATGTCAGTGCTTTCTTCATCTTCAGTGAGCCACCAGCACAGTTCTCTGGAGGTGTTTGAGTAGAGAGGTTGAATCCTAATGATATGAAAGGCCATTTCAGTTTAAAGAAGCTACAATAAGAGTGAAGGGAACTCTCTAATACCTATTTTGAAGAGCAAATGTTTTCTTTTATTCCATGCCTTTTCTTTACAGTTTTAGTTTTAATGAACTAGAAAACAAGATGCTACAACTTAACCCTCAAGACAGACTATAATTTTTGACTTTAGGAGTCCTTCCTTTTTCAAAAAGCAGTGTCTCGAATGGTTCAGATGTGCACAAGGGGGAATGTTATTTCTCCGTGAGATCCTAGCACATTTGGAAGACCATGAATGCTTCCAGACTACAAGGGCAGTGCTCTGTGTTCTTATACGTGATGGTCAGTGAGGTGCGGCCACACGAGGGGACAGAGGAGAGGCTTGGAAAACAAAGTGTATTCTACTCACAGATCCTAGAGAACCACCCTGCAGAAGCCCCAGCACTGGCTGGTCAGGAGGCAGAAGGGGCAGGGGCAGGGGAGAGCTTAGACTGGTCTTTACTGGGGCTCCTGTGTAAAAGGCAAGGCAGGGCAGGGCAGGATAAACTGTACAGGAGTGGCTAATGTGAACAATTTCAGTGGACTCCAAGCTAAAAGGGTCGTGCCTGGTTGTCTGGTGCCTGGTGCTGAGATGATTAGGGCAGAGGAATATTTCCTCCTGGGGTGCAGATCGAGGAGGTGTGGCTCTGAACCGGTCAGAATTGGCCAGCTCCGAGGCATGGGGGCGGATAATCTTTCCCCAGCCAAAAAGGTTTTTAATATGTCAAAACATCATAATATACAGAAAATAAATATATAAACAATACAGGTAGACTTGCTAAATTTTTGTATCTTGTACACTAAATAGAATCATAAACTCATAGGCATTTTGTTTAGGGTAAAACTTTAGAGGTCATACAGATGTCCTTAACTGGGATTCACAGACTTGCAAGGGGTCTGTGATTAGAACTGTGTTTCAGTATAACTGGTTTCTTTGGTAGGCTCATGTATTTTATTTTATTTTATTTTACACATTTAAAAGCATTAATCTTAGAAGGGGCCTCTAGGCTTCTTTCACCAGTTTGCCAAAGGAGTTTATGGCACACAAAAAGTTAAGATTCCTCTTAATTTTAAGATGCAGAAACTAAAGATTTACCAAAAGCCTTACAGTTAGTTAGAAGCAGAAGAAGTCACTAGGATACAGGTCTTCTGATGGCTAACCCAGGATTTTAATTAGGGTGTAGGTTAAGCTGCTGAAATTAAAGTTTATTTCTGTCCTGGGGACAGTTGGTAGGCTGTACCACACCAGCACTGAACAATGACAAATGATCATTGAATTCTGCCACAGACCAGCAACTGATAAAGATACCTGAGTGTCTAGACCAACTGAAAAATGGGTCAGATGTCCTCCCTCCCACACAAAAGCATTTTGGGAAAAGTCAGATCTTGTGAGGGGAAGAGAGGGGCTAGCCCTCTGGGTAAATCGCAGTATAAATGGACACACTGGAAGTTATCAGCAAGTACGTTTATTTTTCAGCCAAACCACCTGGATAGACCTGGCTAGATGAGAACTGAATAGAGTCTTTGCCTCTGCTCCCAATTGTCTTACCTGAATCAGGGAGTATCTCTGGTGACTCAGAAAAAAACTTAAGTTGTGCCCTGATGATTCCCTCTGTGGACCTTTTCTGGGAACTCAGCCTTGTCCAGGGTTCCTCAACAACGTTCCTCAGCACCCACACCCAGAACTGTGGCTCTGTGAAGGTTTAGGCCAGACTTCACATGACTCACCAGAGAGGAGGGGAAGGGACTGAAATTTGAAATTTATGATTAAGCCAGTTTTTATATCCACAAAATAAGGGGAGAATCTAAAATGTATCAGATGTTGATATGAGAGAATTGAAAAGATTGATGGGGAAGACAAAATCAGAAAGACAAATTTCAGCAATTGAGTTGTGAGTTTAACTTTTAGAAAAAGACCTTCCTCAGAAGTGTGTTTTAAATGGTATGTTTTAGATTCTTTATAAAAATCTTTACTGAGATGTAATCACTCACCACTAGACTGAACCATGCTAAGTGGACAATGCTTTCTAGAATATTTGTAGAGTTGTGCACCCATCATCTACAGTCCAGTGTTAGGACATTCCCATCACCCCAGAGAGATTTCTCATGCCCATCCCTCTCTCATCTCCAGTCTAGCCTCTAGGTGACCACCAGTTGACTTTCTGTCTCTAGCTTGTCTTGTCTGGACATTTCTAGATATAGTATGTGATCTTTTACTCCTGTCTTGTTTCACTGAGCATATGTTTGAGGTTCTTTATGCTGGTAGCTTGTTCCTTTTTATTGCTGACTAGTACTGCCGTGTATGGCTATGCCTCATCTTGTCTGTCCATTCAACAGTTGATGGGCAATTGGGTTGTTTCTGTTCTTTGACTCCTGTGAATAATGCTGGTATATATATTTGTGTTCATATTCATTTCTCTTGGGTAGATACCTACAAGTGAAATTGCTGGGTCGTATGTTAAATTTGTGTTCAACTTTTTGAGAAACTGTCAGAATGTTTTAAATGACATTTTATGTGTTTTTTTTTAACTTTGAGCTACATGAGGCCATTTCAGTGCATTTTTTAGAGCTCTGATATTTTTGCTGCTTAGAAAATAGCTTCTGAACCAGAAAGATCAGTGTAGAAAGCAGCAGATGTCTGCAGAAACACATCCCAGAGCTGCATACATTTGGCCAGGATTTTAGTGCATAGATACTATGTGTTCTTTGTGAAAAACAGGTAATATAAATAAGAAAAAAAGAAAAGCCATCATAAGTCTATCATCCAGAGATATCCAAAGTTATCATTTTATTACATATTCTTTTAAAAGAATATTACATATTCTTTTAGAGTTGCATACATTCTTTCCTCCCCCGCCCCAGAATACACAGATAGTGGAGGGAGAAGTTGATAAAGTGATAAAGGATGGGATATAAGTGTCATGGAAATAGAATTACAAATAGCAAATAAACATACAAAAAATTTTTCACTAATAATCAAAGCAATAACATTGAAATGATAATGCATTTTAATCTATCACATTGAGAAGATTCACAAGATTTTTTAAATCCACTGGGATGGAAGAATGGAGGGACCAGCACGTTGCTAGTGAGTGTAAATTGGTTCCATGTTTCTCGGGGTGCTTTGCCACTGTGTATTGATAGTGTGCATTTCCTACAACTCTAGGTCTAGGAGTTTAAGTTGACATAGTTGAAAAAAAGTATTTGTTTGGGGGAAAATCTGAAAGGAATCTAGAGACCCACCAATGGGAGTTGAAAATAACATATAACAAATATTCCATATAAACAGTGCAAATACTGCACAGCAGTGAAAATTAATGATGTAGACCTATACTTGTTAATTTGAAAATATATCAAGAAAAAAACAATTTTTGTGAAAATATATAGTCCAATCCCACTTTTATTTAAAAAACAATCACTTTTGAATTTATGTAGGAAAAAAATCTAGAAAAATCTAGGCCAATATGTTAGTACTAGTAATCTGTGAGTTACGGAATTAAGGAGAATTTTAACATGTATTTTTGATTATCATGTTTTATAAGTTTGCACTACTTTTACAATAAGGACAAACAATAGAATTACTTACATCTTGAAAAAAGTTATTAAATAACCTGTGTCAGAGGTCAGACCATAAAGAGTATCAGGCTAATCTTTGGCCTAATTAATCAAACCTACAAAAACTTTGGCTCTTTGGAGGGTTGGCAGAAGGAAAGGTGGAGGCTAAGAAGAGGAGTGACGCTGACCAAGAGGGTGCAGTGGGCCAGACACTCCGTGACAGCTGCTGGGAGCCAAGGGCACAAGTGTGAAGCAACATAACACGGTATTCAGATCTGACTTCCAGCAGCTGCTGTACAGAACCTTTTTCTTTGAAAGATTATCAAGCCCGCACCACAAATGGCATATTCCAAACAATTTTATGAAAGTGCTGAGAAATGGCTCCCTAATGCCTACTGTCTACCAGGCTCTATTACATGCAATGGATGTATCTATCAACACCAAGGTTACTAGTTGTTACATTATGGGTTTTTAGCTAAAAAAGGACATGGCTGAGGTGGCCAGCTGTTCCCCTTGCAGCTAAGCAGCTCTTAGTCCTGTTAATAACTTCAGCATCTCCACCTCCGTCCTAGCTCTGCCCCACCTTCACCTTTAGCAGGCCTTCTCCCCACCATCCAGTGCTCTGAAAGTCTGGAAGGAAAGAAGTTTCTCCCCACCCAAATGCCCGTTGTGTAGCTTGCCAGGATTCTGCAGTATGTTTTAGGCACCATGATTTAGTTATATTTTCCTGTAGCTTTTATGCAGGAGATATCATCCTGCAGGTTCATGGATTCATAAAAGTTCACGGGGCAAGAAACAGAATGTTCGAAACCAAAGCGATTTGCGCTCTTCACGGATAATGCACATCTATTAAATTCAGAAGCACACAAATATCTCTGCAGTGTTAGCAAATGTCTTGGTAACTTGTAAGAGTTGCAGAAGTGTGGCTCATAGGAAAAGAAGGTGTTTATTCAGTCAACAAGAGGGTTTTCCCTTGGGTGAGTGGCTCCCACATGTCTCAGCCTCCTCTCCTACTAATATTAAAGGGTTGACCAGATGCCACGAGGAATTGGCAACTGTAAATCCGTTTCCCCAGGGACTCTGCCTCTTATCTTAATCGTCCTCATGTAAAAGCTATGAACTGGTTATTTTTATTCCCCTTCCTCTCCTCTTAAAAACATTCTCAAGTCACTAATTTAGCTGTGCACACACTGCTGAGGGGACCCAGTGTCAGGGGAGCCCATTTCATGAACAAGCACTGCCCTCTGTTTCTTGTATAGTCCTGGACTTCTACTAAAGCCAGATAAACTAAGGTCAGATGTGGATATTGCATCAGAGTTCCTTTCACAAGTATTTTCAGTTTGGGAACAAACGTTTAATTAAAATAAACGGTTTTGTTTCTTTTCCAAAATGGTATTCCCAGCATAGCGATGGGCAAATCTTTGTGATTCTTATTCTCTTGTGGATGTATCCAGAAGGTGACGGAAGGGGCTGTTTGTTCCCTTTTGGAGGAGTTCATAGTTTCCGAGTAACACTGCACAATAAATAGCTTAAGAATAGACTTTCTGGGAAATTTTACATTAGACTTTTCTGATAGCAGTCCCTGACATCTCCGTATTTATTTTCTTTTAGAATATTTTGGCAGGCAAAGGCCATGAGGCAAAGATCATGGGCCCTTTCTAACATAGTGTTCTCGGTACTGATGGTGAAAAACACGCACTGTTATTTTGGTAAGCAGATTACAAAACTGAAGATTGCTCTCCTGGGGCCAAAGACGTAGCCACTGCAGTGGTGTGGTGAGAAACATGTGCGCTAAGGCATTGGCCATTTGGGCTAACGAGCATGTCTGAGAGGGTGACCAGGACCCTTCTGTATCCCCACAGATGCTGAAGCAGAGATCGAAGGAGCCCCAGCCTCTCCCCTGGATGTGGTGTGCTTGGATGCCAACAAAGATTATATCATCATCACTTGGAAGCAGCCGGCTGTGGACGGAGGGAGTCCTATTCTGGGATATTTTATTGATAAGTTAGTATTAGTTTAACTTCAGTTAGAGTGATTTGACCATACAGGTGCCTGCTTGCTTCCTCCCACCATTTCTATGTGAAGTGTTTTCTTTACTGGTCTCCCCTCCCTCTTTTTTGTGTATCTGTCTCTGTCTGTCTCTGTCTGTCTGTCTCTATATATATGTACACATACCTATCTATTTACCTAAATTCCAAAGATAACCTTTGAATTTTACCACCAACCCAAGTCACTAATTTGGCAAGAATACTATGAATCTGTACACCTAATAGGGGCCACTTTGGAAATGAAATAGCTGGTATTCAGTATACTTACTGTCCATATTCCTCATATGCCAGTGATTTAAGAGTAGTAAGTGATTTAAAGAATAATACTTTAGGAATACTAACAAAATCTCATTTACGTCACAAGGTTTAAGTTTGACAAAGAAATAACAGGTATCAATAGTATCAAATTACGCTTTACCTACAAGTTCTTGCTGTTTACATTCTCCAAAATTTAGAGGCTCTGCATTTGCAGTAAATGGGTCTCACACATGAATTATCCAGTGAGCTTGGCCAACACAGACAACAAATTTAGATGACTGACCCAAATGCATCATTGTCTGACTTGGTTTCTTTTCAAATAGTTTCTCCAATTCTCTTCCATTTTTGAGTAATTAAATCTGACTGTAGAAACCACTAGGGACAGATAATCTGTGCCACTGTAGTACAACGAATTTATAGGAAGGTGGACTAAACCTAATATTTATAAGCAAACAGTAAATACATGCCAACTGGGCTGAGTACCAACCAGAGCAATGTTTATAAGTTACACACTATTTAACTGTGCATTAAATGTTCCCATGTTATTTCATCATTGAGGAAGTTTTAGATAGAGTCTCTTTCATCCTTACAGTTTCTGCATTACTGTTTTTGGCAAACACCCCAAAGACTTGCAAACTTTGGTCAATGAAAGACCAAGGACAGTCGGTACATTTTGTTTTCCTCTTGCCTTAGTCATAATAAAAATAACCTTATTATGGTTAATATTTATTAAGCATTTGCTCCATGCACTGTTCTAAACACTTTGTGTATATTTACCATTAACCTGTAACCACCTGTGGGAAGGTAGGTACCGGTGTTACAAGTAAGGGACACGGAGCTGACCCATGGCCACATGCTGCGCTTAAAGGCACACAGGTAGTAAGCAGCGGAGCTGGAATTCAGGTAGCAGCCTCGCTGTCAGTCTTGTGTTCTTGCTGCTCCGCCACGCCACGGAGGTCTCCAGAGCAGCTGCTCCCCACCCTTCTTTCTGCCCATGTGAGAGTTTGGAAGCTCTAGGATCACTGGGTCCCTGAGACAGTGTCTGCCCAGGGAAAGAGGGAGAGTCCTCGCAGCGCCACTGGACACGGGGCCGTTTGAAGCTTGTCCCAGCCTTCTCAGCTCTCTCCCATGCCCCATTCACAGCAGCTCCAGGATTCCTGCAAAGGAGGGTTTGGGGGAGGGTGGGTGGAAGGCAGATGGATGGACGCCATCTTTGATAGCACTTTATATAAGGTTGAGGAAAATGTCTGTTTATCTCAAAGGATGGAAGGGTGATGTGAGGAAGTGAAGATAAGCCCCTCACCCCAGCTGCCTTTGCCCTGCCATTGGCAACTCCCTCCACCACGAGAATCATTTGGGAATTATACCAGTGGGACAGAGAGCCGTGCTGGAGAAGTGATGTAAACTAAAAGTGCAGTGCTCTGCTCATAAAAGAATGAGTTAACACTGGTGCCGGATACTTTAACTATACATAGGACCCCTAAACCCCTATTGATTAGGTCAATAGCATGGTAAGAATGGTCATCTTTGCCTCCTGGGATGTGACCAGTCCATCCCCAGGTACTGACTGCTTTAAAAGCCCCAGTGAGAAATCAGAGGTTCCAAGATCTTAGCCTTCCTTTGCCAGGCCTGAGAACTTCCCTGCATCTCATCAGTGTCATCTGTTAAGAAATATATTACAGTACCCCTCCCTCAGTCTTTCCACCCACACAGCATGTAGTGACCATCAGTGAGCTTTTTCCAGGCTACAGTTTAAGTAGGAATCTTCCAAGGTGTTAACTTTCCCAACAATTGTTCCATTTTTAAAAGAAAATGCCTGAAGAAGACAGAGAAAGAAGTCAATAACGGTGGAATTGAAGACATTACCTGGGGAGCTGTTTTGGGAGATGCTCCCGCTTGGTCTCTCTGATGTAGATTGTGCTGCCTGCCTGCTTCTCACCTGCCCCCTCCCCCAAAGCACCTCTGCTTAGCACACAAGGCCCCTCAGCTACCTGTTTAGTGAGGTCAGAGGATGTATATGTCTTCGGGGAAGATCTGAGGCTGCTTCCTTCCTGTTGAAGAGGACACACTGCAGTTGAGTGGAACCCAGTGCCTGCAGTTACGTAACTGTCGAATTCTGCTTGAGCTGGATGTTAGTGGAGAGAGGAGCTGAAGCGGTGGGGTGGGTTTGCAGCTCTGGAGCCGTCCACCTAGCGTTCCTTCCTTTCATGTTCCTCCTCATCACTGTCTCCCCCTTAGATGTGAGGTGGGCACGGACACCTGGTCCCAATGCAATGACATACCTGTGAAGTTTGCTCGTTTCCCAGTCACTGGATTGATAGAAGGTCGTTCTTATATATTCCGAGTTCGAGCTGTGAACAAAACTGGAATAGGCCTGCCCTCTCGAGTTTCTGAGCCCGTGGCTGCTCTGGATCCAGCTGAAAAAGCGAGACTTAAAAGTAAGCATTTTTCATTTTTCAGAACTTTCTCGAACTTTTTTTTTTTTAAATAAAACTGCAGTAGATCTGATTACAAGGTTATTCCTCCCCCCTCCACTAGAGGGAGAAGAGAATAAGAAATCCCTTATTGATCAGAAGAATCCTATTGGGGGGTTGAAAACCGAAATGTATTCGTCTTTGACTCATCTATTCTCTAAGGGCTTTATTTTATTTTATTTTATTTTATTTTATTTTATTTTATTTTATTTTATTTTTTGATTCAGAAAGTTTTGCCTTGTTAAACTGAATTCCACACACTGAGTTTGAAATGAACTATGAAAACCAAGAGCCTGGAGAGCATTTTTATTCATTCTGTTAGCACACTTCAAATAATACTTTTCTTTCTGGTTCAGTTTCTTAAAATTATAAGGTAATTTCCTTAACCTTGAATTTTTCCCTTAGAGCATTAATATCCCAACACTGTGAGTTTCTTTGTATCAAAGGAGAAACACATTTACAACATTATATCTGATCCGTACTGGAGTTTCCATATTAGAGAGTCAAAAATAACCTTTCCATACCTTTAGCCTTCAAGTCTCAATGTCAAAATCGTGGTACATGAATTATGCTCTGCATTTATTTCATGGGAACCAATACAGCATCCTCAATAATAGGGCCCATGAAATGACATTAAAAGAATTGTTGGAAGTTCACATTTCAGTCTGTACCAGATTTCTCAACCTCGGCCCTTGGCCAGGTGACTCTGTCGTAGGGGGCTGTCCTGTGCTTTGTAAGATGTTTGGCAGCACTCCTGGCCTCTACCCACTACACGCCTCTAATACCCCCACTCCCCCATTATGATATTCAAAATTATCTCTAGACATTGCCGAATGTCCCTGGGGGGCAAAATCACCCTGGCTGAGGGGTACTGGTCTATGTCCTATTCACAATATTATTTTTGACCTTAAGTACATGTAGGGGCATCTTAAAAATCTAAGTAAAATAATGCCACTTTCTCTCTGGAGAGTTTTTCTAATCAGGCTCCTTGATTGCTTTCCAATCACTTTTCACCATCCATCTAACTTCCCTCCCTCTTTCCTAATTCCATCTCATGCTTTCATTTACTACTCTTTTATAAATTTCAATGAAAATAAGACTTGTTTGAATTGAAAATAAGCTATCTTGCTTATCACCCTCCTGTTTTTGCACAAACTCTGGTGAAAAGTCCTTTGATTAAAGCAGGAGTTGAACCATTCTCTTTCTGATGTCTTTCTGATTACCACAGAAATGAATTTCCTCTTTGACTTTATACTGCTTGTCTCACCCATTCCCTTACTTGGGATCTAAATTGCTTTCGTTTGTAAATAACACTTTAACATTAACGGAAAGAAATCGCTTTCACTGAGCTTTACCGCAGGATCAGCACCCCTCTCCTCTTTCATCTTTACCATGACAGATAAGTAATGGCTGGGCTTACGGTTGTTGCAGAAAGGTTTCTCCCAATTAGATGCTCTCTCTTAAGAAGGATGAGAGAGCCTACAGGTTTCAGGAGACACTTGTTGAACAGTATATGAACATATGTTTACCTCGCTTGTGTAAATACGGTTCCAGAAACGTGGACTCGGTCCAGGCAAGTTCTGGGCTCCAGCAGGTTGAGTTGTTTGAGGACAGGGGCTGTGCACCCCACAATACCATGTATGTGCTTGGTAAAGATCATTAGGAAGGTATGTAAGTACACTAGTAACTACCCGTTTGTGACTAATCTGGCCAGTTTATCAATTTCTCTGTGCATTTGAACTGCATTTGTGAAGTTTCTGATTTTTATATTTATCTCTGTCAGGTCGCCCTTCAGCACCTTGGACTGGACAGATCATTGTCACTGAGGAGGAACCGACAGGTAAAAGCTACCTCTTCCCCAGACAGCATTGCTGATGTTCTGCTATGCAGCTTAGCTTTGTTGTGGAGGGTAAAGTGTGTATTCTCCAAGATGTTTTGGAAAGAACATTCTGAAATATTTGGAGCTCATGAAATAACTTATACTGTCAGAGAATCACTTTAAAAAAAAGCTTTATTGAACTGTAATGATAGACACTAAACTGCATGTCTGTAAAATGTACAATGTAATAAATTTTACATGTGCAAACACCTGTGAAACCAACACCATGGTGAAAATAGTGAACATATCCATCACCCTTAAAATTCCTCACACCAGTTTATAATACCTCCTTCCCACCCCTTCCCCATCTCCAGGCCGTCACTGATCTGTCTGCTTTCTGTCCCTATGGTTTGTGTCCACGATTTTATATAAGTGGAATAATATTCTTTTTTGCCTGATTTCCTTCACTCAGCATAATTCTTTTGAGATTTATCCATGTTGGTATCAGTCCATTTCAATTTATTTATCCCTTTGCCATTGAAAGCTCTCTGAACCTCCTTGTTAAGTGTTTTTGTGGACATACATTTTCATTTCTCTTGGATAGATACCTAGGAATTGAATGAATAGGCCATATGGTAAATGTTTGTTTAATTTTTAAAGAAATTTCCAGTTGTTTTCCAAACGGTAGTACTATTTTGCATTCACATCCGCAGTATGTGAGAGTTCTGCTTGCTCCACAGTATCACCAGTACTTGGTATGGTCAGTCTTTTTAATTTTAGCCGTTCTAGTGGTGGGTGCATAGTGGTGTTTTATACCATAGTGGTATTTCATAGTAGGTGGATAGTGGTCTTAATTTGCATCTCCCTAATAATCTTGAGCATATTTTCATGTGCTTTTTGCCATTTTTTGCATCATGTTTGACACCTTTGCCAACTCCAGGTTCACTCAGATATCCTTTTATTTTTCTATAAATGTTGTGCATCAGCTTTTGCATTTCAATCTATGATTCATTTAAAATTAATTCTTTGTATACTGTGTAGATTAAGGGCCTAAGTTATTAATATTTTGCATATGGCTATCCAGTTATTTCAGCAATATCTTTTGGAAAGATTATCCTTTTCCACTGAATTGCCTTGGTACCATTGTCAAAATCAATGGATTGCATATTTGTAGATCTATTCCTGGAATCTTTTCATTTTCTCTACACCAATACCACACAGTCTTGATTACTGTAACTTTTATAAGCTTTGTGTTTCTTCCTCTTCCTCTTCCTTTTCTTCTCCTTCTCCTTCCCCTTTTTTTAAGCTTCACAGTTTTGAAGTCAGGCAGTATAAGCTCTCTAATTCCCCCCCTGCCCAAAGTTGTTTTAGCTATTCTAAGTCTTTGCATTTCCATGTAAAATTTAAAATCAGCTTTTCAATTTCTACCAAAAAGCCTGGTAGGATTTCAGCTGAATCTTCTATATCCTTCATGATTTTCTACTTGTTTTATCAATTATTGATAAAGTAGTGATGAAATCTCTAACTAAATGGTGGATTTATCTGTTTCTTCTTGTAGTTTTATCAGGTTTTGTTTCATGTATTTTGAGGCTGTGCTATTAGATGCATAAACATTTTTATTGGCATGTCTTCTTATGCATTGACCATTTTATTATTGGAAAGTGACCTTTATCCATGGTAATACATTTCTGCTTGGAAATCCACTTTGTCTGCTATTACTATAACCATTCCAGCTATCTTTTGATTAGTGTAGGCATACAGATGATTTCCATTGTTCTACTTTTAACCTATGTATCTTTGTATTTAAACTATGTTTCTTGTAGGCAACATATCAGTGAGTCTTGCCTTTCTATGCAATCTGGTAATCTTTGCTTTTTAATTGGGGTTTTTGAACTATTTATATTTCACATGATTATTGCTATGGTTGGATTTAAATCTACCATCTTGCTATTTGTTTTCTATCCACTCCGTATTTGGTCTTTTTTCTTTTCCTTTTTTTTTCTTTCTGCTTTCTTTTGGACTGAATGTTTTTTATTATTCCATTTTATCTGTGTTACCTTAGTAGCTATAATTATTTGTTTTGCTTTTATAGTAGTTTGGAATTTATAACATACATCTTATGACAACCTATCTTCAAGTAATATTATACTACGTCACGTGTAGTATAAGAACTTAAACAATGTTATTCCATTTCCCCCTCTTAGTCATGGTGGTGCTGTCATACGTTTTATTTGTGTATGTATTATCAGCTGCATGATGCAGTGTTATTACTTTGCTTCAAACAGTCACTTATCTTTCAAAGAAACCTACAATGTAAGAAAAAAGTTTCTAGTGTTCATTCACATTGTTGCCATTTCTGTTGCTCTTTATTTCTTTGTGTGGATCTGGATTTCCATCTGATATGATTTTTTTTCCCACCTAGCACGTTACCTTTAATATTTCTTGTAGTGCCGGCCTGCTGGTTCCGAATTATTTTATTTTTTGTATGTCAGAGGGAGTCTGTATTTCATTTTCATTTTTCAACTATATCTTCACTAGATATAGAATTCTAGGTTGACAGTCTTTCTTTAAATAGGTTGGTCCATTGTAACAGACCTGCACTGTAAGAATGACTGTTAACAGTTTTCACCCTGTCATTCTTACTTGTGTTTCTCTGTAGATAATACGTCTTTTTCCCCTCTATCTGCTTGTGAGATACTCCCTTTATCACTGGTTTTAGAAATGGATTATGATGTACATTTGTGTAGTTTCCCTTATGTATCATGTGCTTGAGGTTTCCAAGTTCCCCAGATCTGTGAATTTATGGTTTTCATCAGATTTGGACATTTTTCCACCATGATTTCTTTACATACATATCTTTATACTCCCCTCTCTCTCCTCCACCTCAGGAACCCCAACTGTGTGCCACTGGAAACCACAGCTCCTCGCTGTGTTCATTTTTCCTTTCAGTCTTTTTTCCTTTCTGTTTTCTATTTTGTACACTTTCTACAGCTACGTCGTTAATTTTACTATTCTTTTCTTCTTCAGCCTCTAAGCTACTGTGAATCCCAGCCAGCTTATTTTTTTTTATGAAATACTTTGCAGTTTTTATCTTAGAAGTTAATTTGTATTATTTTTATGTGTTCCATGTCTTTAATTATCATCTTTAATCTTTATCTTACCTAACATGTGGAATATACTTATAAAAACTGTTTTATGTCCTTGTCTACTGATTCTATCATCTGTGACATTTCCGGTTTTGTTTCTGTTGATTGATTTTTCCTCATTGTGGGTTGTATTTTCTGGCTTCTTTGCATACTTAGTAATTTTTTGAGGCGATGCCAGACATTTTGAATTTATGTAGTTTGGTGCTGGATATTTTTGTATTTCTGTAAACGCTCTTGAGCTTTGCTCTGGGGAGACAGTCTGATTCTTTCAAGGGTTGCTTTTGTTGGGTGGAATCAGAGCAGCCTTTAGTGTAGCGGCGATTTGGCTGCAACACAGAGGTGGTACTTCTGAGTAGTTTATCAGATTCCTCCTGAATTAGGAGATTTCCGCTCTGGCTGGTGGCAACGTGAACTCTCCCAGGCCCTTTGAGGGCTTTGAGGATTATTGTCTCCAGCTCTGTGCATGTGGGTTTCCCCAGCGTCAGGTGGTTTCCCTGCATGTGCTGGCCAGTCCTCAGGAGAACGCTGCAGTCTGCAGATCTCTGAAGCTTCTGTCTGTGTGCAGCCCTTTCCTTCGGTATTCTTCCCTGACTCTCTCTGTGGACTTTGCCCTCCCCGGGATTCCAGCTTCTCCTTCACTCAGGGAGACTGCCAAGCTCCACCTGGGCTCCTCTTCCTGAGCTGCTGCCTCGGAACTCTCTCCAGACAGTAAGCTGGGACCGTGGTAGGGCTCACCTAATTTTCCATCTCTTGGGTATCTATCATTGTCCTGTGATGACTGACATCCAATGTCTATACGCAGTCATTTCATAAATTTTGCCCAGTATTTTAGTTGTTCCACGTTGAAGGTTCACTCCAATGTTAAGAACTATGGAGGGGCTAAAATTTTACCCGCCTTATAAGCTAACAAGTTTCCTAGCATGGTTTCATGGATGCTGACAAAAGGCAGGAGACGGCTGGGCCGGGAGGACTGTCACCCACAGCAGAGCAGGCAGCATGAGCTTTGAGTTCTTCCCTGGCTTGCCTGCTTCCCCAAGCTCCACTGGGGGATGTGGCGCAACACAGAGCTCTGCGCCTCAGCTGAGGAGTCTTGCGCTTGGGAAACCCCCATCTTGCAAGGATGCTGCTCACCAACCTGCTCAAACCTTCTGGAGAAAGACGTCATTATTCTGGTTAGAGAACAAGTCAGCTCCCTTCTCTAGAGGATGTACTAACTCTATATTCCAAGGCTGTTTTCCATGCACATGTCCTTGAAAAGATATTCTGCCAAAAAGCTGATAGAAGATGTGCAGAAAACGTAACTTGTGTCATTGCTGCTGTTTTTCAACACCATAAGGAAATTAAAATTTTCAAGCAAAGAAAGTATAATTGTGGCATTGAACGAATGAATGTTGTAGGAAGAATTTTATAGACAAGGTACTTCTTTATCCTGCGGAGCCGTAATTAGCCCTTCCTCCAGTGGAAGAGAAGCATTTGTGACCCTGAGTGTCCTGGGCGTCCCAAGCATGTGCTCCTCACTCTTCCGTGTTGTTTTTCAGAGGGAATTATTCCTGGGCCCCCCACAGACCTCTCCGTCATCGAGGCCACACAGAGCTATGTGGTACTAAGCTGGAAGCCGCCTGGCCAGCGTGGCCACGAGGGCATCCTGTACTTTGTAGAAAAGGTAAGACTCTGGGATCAGCTGAGTACCTCTTGCCACTTCCTGAAGATTTCTTTGAAGAAGTGGAGATTACATTTTCATTGTGCCCTGAATTCTTTAAACCCTTGTAAACTGTGAAAATGTCCCCAGAAAACTGCATATCACACAGAACTTTGCCTGAAAGTTCGGGGGGTTTGTGGATCCCTGAGACTTCTCCATAGACTCCTAAGTGGTCCACAGACCCAAGCCATAACCCATCCCAAGAAGAGAAATGTTCCTGGAACTGTAGTTTGCCTTTTTTGCAAAAATATCATGGAGCTCAGTTAAGTTTCCTAAAGTCCCCTCTCTTTTATCCTTAATGCTGCTCTCTGACCATTCACTCTTAGAACACCTCAAACACCCCCTGATAGTTAGCACAAGAGCACAGATATCATGGGAATACAGGTGTAGGCAAACATCCGCAAATTAGGTAACAACGTAAAAGCGATAAGCAACCATCTTTATGGCCTTTAGTTGTTTCAGATCAGCGGCTCTTGAGAAAATGATACAGGAACTAAAAATGCTAGGGTCTGTGGTTTCCTTTATTAATTACTTTTCTTTGATGAGGGTGTTTGGCTCACATCTTTGAGGCGCTTGCCTCCTTTCCTCTCATCTCCAGCATATTGGTAGCAATAGGTGGATCCTCTCTCTTCAATGTGCAGTGGGGACATCTTTGAAGAATGTCTCATTTTACCAAAATAAATTTACAAAATTTACTAAAAATTTACATTTTTATTAATTTTTATATTTTCTAGATATTAGCCACAAATAAAATACAACTTGAGTAGTATTCTTGATTAAAATTTTTTCCTCTCTATATTTTTCAATAGAGAGCAAGACAAAGAGTGATAAACATGCACTTCCTGATGTTTCACACCCCACACCCCCTGCCTCAGTGAAGCTTTTTGTTTTTTTCAATTATTTTTTTAATGGTGATACTGGGGATTGAACCTAGGACCTTGTGCATGTTAAGCAGGCACTCTACCACTGCGCTATACCCTCCCCCCTGCAGTGAATCTTTTGAAATGCTCCACACATAGTTCTGAATAAGCTCCGTGACAGTAATTACCATCTTTCTTATAATAGTGGCACAGTAACAACCTACTTAGAGGCCTTTTCTTGAGATGAGTCAACTTTGGCTTCTGTTGAGCATTTCTTCTGGTCACATAAACTTGAATGTCTCCATGAAAGTCTCCAGCTACTCCAGACCTAAATACACATGAGTCTGATTAAAAACTGAAGTGTTCTCCCACCAGTGCACCTCACTGTTTGGAACAGAGGGGACATTTATGAGTGCAGCATGAGCAGGAAGCCTGTACAGGCACAGCCAACGGACAGAAGGCCCAGGATGTTGAAGACCCACGGAGCAGAGCGTGTCCAGAGACCTGGGGCACATTTACAGAAGAACTGTCCAAATTCCAAACCGTCCTCCTGAGCCAAGTCTCAGGTTGTTTCTGATGACCCCCTTCTGAGGGGGCTGTTCCCCTGCTCTTGTCCTGTGGCGCGTTTCCATCCCCAGTGTGTTCACGCCCACAGCAGAGCTGCCTGTTTGGTCAGCCCTGGACTTGCACTTCTTCGTGGTGCTTTTCCCCTGGGATTTGCTTGCATGTAAAGCACAGACTTGTCTGTCAAGGGAGGGGGTGATCAAGAGGGCCTTTCTGAGGAGATGGTATTTGAGCCTATACCTGCGTGATGCTGAGTCTTTAACAAAACACAATTAAAATAATACAGTTTATAACAGCATAATGGAAAAGTGAATATCTAACACAGCATGTTAAATTTAATTACCTGCCCTAAGAATTAGAAAAAATAACTGTCATCTAAATAAATTTAAAACTTTTGTAAGGAGACCAGTGATCTTATTTAGTTAATAAAAGAAGTGATGTATTAAAGCAGTGTATTTGTCCAACAATACTAAGCCATATTTGATTTAGATAATCCTCTGGACTTCAGATGTTTCAGCCCCCATTTCCTCCAAATCTCTCCTCTAGTTCAGCTTGCATAACAGGTAGTAGTTTTGCTGGCAGAGAAACAGACTTCCAGGTGCCTGGCTTAGAGTCCAGTTTATTCTTGCTGTGTTTTCAATGGGTTTCGCTGTTTTGGTTGCAGTGTGAGGCGGGAACAGAAAACTGGCAGCGGGTGAACACGGAGCTCCCTGTGAAGTCTCCCCGCTTTGCTCTGTTCGACTTGGTGGAGGGGAAATCCTACCGTTTCCGAGTCCGCTGTTCTAATTCAGCAGGAGTTGGTGAGCCCTCAGAGGCCACCGAAGTGACCGTAGTAGGGGACAAGCTCGGTAAGTGTAGAGTTTGTTTGAGCCACTGCAAGCCCGTTTCACTTCAGTTGGAGAGAAAATTCCAAAGCCAGAATCTTATTAGTGTACATGTATGTTCAGAAGTAAAAGTGTGGACATCCTTTTTTCATATTATAAATTTAATTCATGACTGTCTTTGACGGAAACATTGGAAAAATTTCATTATTATGAATTATTATGAAAAGTAAACTTCTCCAAGAGTTTCAACAGTATTGCTAGTGTATCCTTTTCTGGAGGGGGTTGATATGTTCATGGCTGTTTAATTTATTATTATGCTCCCAAACTAGCATACCTATTTATTTTTATTTTCTGCTTTAACAAATACATTATCAAATAAAGAACCATACGTTTGACGTGGTTCCTCGTATAAAATTTATATGTGTATATATGTCTGTGCAGATGTGATGAGAATGAGTTTTTAAAACCACACTGAGCTTGACCATGATCTTCCTCTTTTCTCAGACATCCCCAAGCCCCCCAGCAACATCATCCCAAGCAGAAATACAAACACGTCAGTGGTCGTTACGTGGGAGGAACCCAAAGATGCTAAAGAGCTGGTCGGCTACTACATAGAGGCCAGCGTTGTTGGCTCTGGCAAGTGGGAGCCCTGCAACAACAACCCTGTGAAGGGCACACGGTAACTGCGCCTGGTGGGGGGAGGGCCCCACAGTGGAGCCACAGCAGCTGCGCAGGGAGACCCACCATGGGCCCGAACAGCTGCACAAACATCCAGCGGGGGGAGATTACTCAAAGCCTTATACTCTGAATAGCCGAATGAATTAAAAATTGAACACGTCTACTGCAAAACATTAAAAAAAAAAGGATCACTAGTAATATTAAACATGTAGCAGCCCACAGTGCAGCTCTGATGAGTTCACTTCATAGCTCTCTTCTGATGCTTTCCCTTGATCCTGCTTGTCCTTTTTAACCCTCTGTTCTGGTCTTAATATCCAATGTTTAATACCAGGGATCTGATAGGCTCTAGTGAACGTAAGTCACCCAGGCATTTTATTTTATTTTACTTTTTTTTAAATTGAAGCATAATCGACCTACAACACTAAGTTAGTTCCAGGTGCGCAACATAGTGATTCAGTATTTCTATACGTTACAGAATGATCCCCATGATAAGAGGAGTTACCATCTGTCACCCTATAAAGCTGTTATCATTAATATTATTGACTATATTCCCCATTCTATACATTTCACCCTAGTGATTCATTCATTTTGTAACTGGAAGTTTGTACCTCTTAATCTTCACCTGTTTCACTCATCTCCCTCCCCACACCTCTCTGGCAACCACTTGTTTGTTCTCTATATCTGTGAGTATGTTTCTTTTTTATGTTTGTTCATTTGTTTTTTTTTAGATTCCACAGAAATGAAATGAAATCATACAGTATTTGTCTTTCTCTGTCTGACTTATTTTACTTAGTGTAATACCCTCTACATTCATCCATGTTGCAAATGACATTCTTTTTTATGACTGAATAATATTCCATTGTACATATATACCACATCATCTTTTTTCATTCATCTATCAGTGGACACTTAGGTTGTTCCCATATCTTGGCTTTTGCAAATAGTGCTGCAGGGAACATAGGGGCACATGTGTCTTTTTGAATTAGTGTTTACCCAGGACTGGAATTGCTGGATCATATAGTAGTTCTATTTTTAACTTTTTGAGGAACCTCCATACTGCTTTACGTAGTATCTGTAGCAATTTACATCCCACCAACAATACACAAGGTTTCCCTTTTCTTCACATCCCTGCCAACACTTGTTTTTTGCCTTTTTGATAATAGCCATTCTGACAGGTGTGAGGTGAAATCTCATTGTGGTTTTGATTTGCATTACCTGATGATTAGTGATTTTGGCATCTTTTCATGTGTCTGTTGGAAGAAATGTCTATGCAGGTCCTCTGCCCATTATTTAATTGGGTTGTTCAGGGGGTTTTTTGATAATTGAGTTTTATGGGTTCTTGGTATATTTTGGATATTAACCCCTTATCAGACACATCGCTTGCTTTTATCTTCTTCCATTCATCAGGTAGCCTTTTCATTGTGTTGATAGTTTCCTTTGCTGTGCAAAAGCTTTTAAGTGTGATGTAGTCCCATTTATTTATTTTTGCTTTTGTTTCCCTTGCCTAAGGAGACAGATCCAAATATTGCTAAGACCAATGTCAGAGAGTATACTGCCTATGTTTTCTTCTAAGAATTTCATGGTTTCAGGTCTTACATTTAAGGCTAATCCATTTTGAGTTTATTTTTACGTATGGTGTGAGAAATTAGTCCAGTTTGATTTTTATGCATGTAGCTGTCTAGTTTCATAAATTATGCAGGCATTTTTAAAGGGCAGAAAAAAGTATCAACATTTTACAAATTTTGAACATCAGCATGGCTTAAACCCAGTGCTGAGGAGATATAAATAACACCAGAACAAAGATGTTCAGAATAATTTGCCATCTCCTTGTATCTGTTTCGAATATGAGGAGGGTTATTTTTTTTCTTGTTTTTGAATATTTTATCAGCCAGCTCTGCAAGTTAATGATGAAGTTAAATTCTGAGCCCTGTTTGATTTAGGACCAACCTCAGAGGAGATTTCCCTTCCCTCAAATTGTCAAACAGGCTTGTTAGGCAGCTTCTGGCTTGGCCACTTCTGTGTCCAAAGACCCCTATAGGATGAGTCATTTCTTCTGCAGAACATGAGAGAATAAAGACAAACCAGTTAATGGGAGAAGGCAATATGTTTTGCAAGAGATCCAGTTAGCCTGTTTGTGCATTTCACTTTTACTCTGAAATCCCCACATTTTCCAGGGACTGTTTAGAAACATGCATGGAGGGGAGGCAGAGTCTGCCTGTCTACAGGCAGATGGGAGCTGCTCAGGGGCCGGCACCATTTTTTATTCCTCTCTGTATCCGCAGTACCTCGCTCAGTGTCTGGAACACTGACATGCTCAATAAATATTCCCTGAACTGAGATGGCCTACATTAGGCTGCCTTTATTAAGTACTTCAACATGCTAATAGTAACAGAGTCGTTAGCAGACCTGTTATTCCCTTTGCTTACAGTCCTTAGGATGGATTAAAATGTTAGTGATTTATGAACCAGTTTTTTTAAATAGCCATAATAGCTATTAAAGAGTGAGGTTTTTTTATGTGTGAAACTGCCCACAGATTCATACCTCGTTAGGGATCCTTATATGTAAATGACAATTCTAGAGTCCATTTTTCACCTTAATTTCAGATTTTAGTTTAATTTCTCAAGTAATTGTACCTTCCATGGGATGCAGGGAGGCAGTGAGTAGGCCTCTGTGACAAGGGGCAGCCAGTGCCTTGCAGCTTTAAGTGTATCCCTGAAGTAGCCATTCATAACAATGCTAATACCAGCTATTGTTTTGGTGCTATGTAATAGGTACCGTGTATACTTTATGGTCAATCTTCACACAAAAATTACCATGTAGGTATTATCATCCCCATTTTATTGATAAGCACACAGAGGCTCAGAAAGGTTAGGGTGTTTATTCAGGGGAAAACCAGGACTCCTCGTTGTTTGACAGAGTGAGTTTGGAAAACTGAGCTGCCTTCTTGTCTAACACACATGTGTTACCTGGATCTCTCTGTATCTTTTTCTTCCTTAAAAGAATCATTTCATAAATCCAGATCATTGTGTCAAGCTGACAGTCACCTTCCCTAATTCTCCTCCTAGGAAAGCTTTTAAAAAATCCCTTCCCTTTCAGATTTACTTGTCATGGATTGACTACGGGTCAGAGCTACGTTTTCCGAGTCAGAGCAGTTAATGCAGCTGGACTGAGTGAATATTCACAGGATTCAGAAGCAATCGAAGTAAAAGCTGCTATTGGTAAGTTCCTTATGCATAACTTTGCAGGGGAAAAACGAATTTTTCTAAGTTGCAAAGAAAGATGCCATCCTCTCCAGAAATGGTTTAAAGCTTCTAATATTGCTCGGTGATTCCATCTTCAGATGATCATTGTCTCTGACTCCAGGTGACCTCTAACCTTCCATAGCTGTCATTCTACAGATCTCCATCACTTACCCAGACTCTGTGCACCTGTAGCCTTTTCATCTTCACAAGCCCAAGTTTCCTCAGATATTTCCCATTGAGTGAAACTCCGTTCTAACTTCGTGCTCACCTTGGGAACATGAGGGCCATCCGAGCCCATGAGGTGGTATATCACCCGTAAGACAGATCATCTTATACCTAAAAGCCATTTCATCTGCAACTGAGCCTGGCTTGCTTTCAGTAACAGCTCATTAACCTGCTTTCTATGAACTCTGCTGAAATTCCTGCAAGACGCGTGTGACTGCTTAGTCATTTGTTTTGTCTTTGCTGGCAAAGCCAAAAACAGAATAAACCAGTAATCAAGTAATTATATGTATGTACAGTGACGTACCTCCCAACCTTAAAGTGGGGAAGGGACCCAGGTAGTTCAGAGCAATGAAAATGAAATCTGATATAGCAACACATATTTAAGGAGAAAGTTTGCTTAATATCAGCTGTCTTCAGTTAGCATCCTGTAACGCTTTTTAACATGCCTCATAATATGTCTGTATTATAAGGACATAAGGAACATGTGTCTTTAGGGTTGGGAGGTGCAGGCCATTAATGTATCAGTAAAGTACATAACTCTAGTTGTTGTGTAATCAGGATCTTTAATGTTTGTCTCTTGTGCACTCTGTGGTCCCCCCCCCATTCTGTTGAATAACAGCGCTTACATCTCTCAAGAAATGTCTCAGGCGTGCTTTTTCTTATGTATACTTGGGTCCCGCCAGTCAAAATGGTTCCCGTTCTGTCTGTGGTTTTTTGTTCTCGTTTCTTCTTTTTCCAAAATATGGAGAAGTTTAAATGTTTCCGTGGTGTAAATTACATGAAATGTATGCTTTCCATATTTCTTGCAAATTCAAGTGATTTCCGTTAAACCAAGATTGCTTTTGTTCTGTTTGTGGGCCTAATGTTTTTCTCTTTTGTTCTATAAAGTGAGAGCAGTTCGTCCTGTGTCCAGGCTCAAAGTGTTTCTGTTGTTATCTGGCAATTGTAGGGGGAGGAGAGTCTCCAGATGTGTGGCCTGACCTGAGTGCTGCGCCTGCTGGACTAACAGACTCCAGGGGAGGCGTGCATGAAACCTCCCGGCCAGCCTCTAAGAAAGATGCTTTGCTTGGTCGCAAACTTAACAAACCTTCACTACCCGGTAGCTCCCACAGCCTGGGCCAAACAGAAGTGAGGAAAGTAAGTGAAACAGTTCAGGAAGAGCTTTCCCCACAACCGCAGAAAGCAGCTCCTAAGGGGAAAAGTAAGTCTGAGCCTCCGAAAAAGAAGAAGGATATAGGTGAGAGCTGAAACAGTCAAAGTGTCCCATGCGTCTCCATCAGTGTCCTCACCTCTCATTGTCTAAACCACAACCCTCCGTCTGTGTTCACTTTCACCAATGTTTATTCTTAATTTTGTGTTTTCAGTTATCCATTTGTAACACTTTTGATTAATGAGTTGTAAGAGTAATTTTATATGGGTTTGGCTTTATACATAATTCATTGTGCTTAATAACAATAGAATATTTAAAGTAATTTGGTTATAGAGTTCTTTTGGTTTGTCAGGTAGACGCACCTTTGACCTCATTTGGCTAGAAGAGCTAGCAAACGGAACAGGAAGGATTTGATAATCATAGCCTATGGGAGGTCCTTTGAAATGTTTGTGTTCGTACTTGTGTGGGAAAAATATTTCACAAAGAAGCAACATTTTATCAGGATCAATTATCAACTTCTGTTGTTCATCCTCAGGTTTTCAAATTACCTTCACATTTAATTCAAATTAACAAATGTAACAGTCTCTCTTTGAGTTGTCATGAAAAGTTTAACAGGGTATTATAATCATGTATAGCTATATGCTATTATCTATGAACCACATTCCCAGAACTTACTTATTTAAGACTGTTTATCGGTAAGGCTAATTATCTAATCAGAATTCGAATAGAAAGGCTAATTATCAGTAATCACAATTTTCTGCTTAGGCTATTTGGTACTTGTAGTTTATATATTCTAGGAGACAATTTTTTCTTATCAAATAAAAATGAAATGGTAAACGTGTACTGATGAATTATAACATGCCTCTCAGCCATCCACTGTATCTACCCTACCCCTAACTTCTGTAACCTCAATTTTTTTTACCTTTATTTGTTCCTTCAACTCAAGATGAGATGGGGTATTCATTTGAGAGTTCATATTTAACATTGCTCTGAGACAGAGACAGAGAGAGAGAGAGAAGGAGAGAAAGAGGGAAGGAAAGCTTTTTTAAAAGGTAAAGAATGAAGGAGGTTGGTAATGGGGGAAGAGAGAAATGTATTTTATTTTTTTAAATCCTTACTGTTCTGAGATCTTTTGAATAAGAATGAGATAGTTCCTCTATCTTTGATAATCCAAATAAATATTCAGGAAATTCTTTTTAATGTTATTGCATACCTAGATCGATTTCTTTCCACTGCCCCACTCTCTCTTTCTTTATCAAAAAATCCTAATTTCTGTAGTTGAGTGAAAGTTTGATCAACCAAGCCACATAAATGAAGGGAGACTTTTAAAACAACATCCGGGTATTTTTATGACTAGTCATTAATAAACGTGGTGACAGCTGTGTAGTATTTTGTGCCGTATGAATAATAATCCAACATCAGGTTTAAATAATGGAGCAAAAAGTGTTATAGGAAGGGAAAAATCACATGCTTTTTTTTTTTTAATTTTGGCACTTAGCTAAACTCCAGAATATGATTTTTCCTATGTGTAGACAGAACCTGTATAGTTGTAAAATCTTACAGGGGTACATGCGCCTGAATGGTGAAATGATAGCTGTTTGGAAATATGTGGAAATTCTTAATAAGCAAATCAAGGCAGAAATCAATAGACATATGCCATTTCCTCAGGGAGTAAGTAAAAACAAAACCGCATAAAGAAACAAAAATTTATGTCTTGGGGAAAATATTTCTTCTAATAGGGAACAGATCATTTTTCAGGAGATTGTACCATTTTGCTATTAGTATTTCAAAACTTATTCCTCCTTGGGAGTGGGGTGGGGTGGCAGGTTCTTTTTATCTTTGGAGTAGTAATAGCAGTGCACTTTTTATTGTGCGTGTTTTTTCCCTCATACACTAAATTGATGCCAAGTTACTTATTGGCATCACATTTTAGTTTTATACCACAAGACCTAGTGCCCTTATGCACGGCACCAATGAAACAAGTTTGAATCACAGAAACATTTCAGTCTACTCACGAGCTATTCATATTACAACAGCGCCACCGTCTCCACCCTGTGATATCACTTGTCTTGAAAGTTTTCGTGATTCAATGGTTCTTGGCTGGAAGCACCCAGATAAGCCTGGAGGGGCTGAAATTACGGGCTATTACGTGAACTATCGTGAGGTAATTGATGGGGTACCAGGAAAATGGAGAGAAGCCAACATCAAAGCTATCAGTGATGAGGCGTATAAGGTAAGCAAGCGGCCCTCTGTAGTGTGGGGTGTTGTGCATATGTTGACATACCCCACACACATGCATGCACACACATGCATGTGCCCAGCACCTTGTCAGTGACTCATGGCATCTCTTCAGTGTCCTTTGACATGACTTTTGTGACAAATATACAAAGATAAAAAGAAGTGTTTTGGCTGATCAGGCAGGATGTATATTTTCTGATTTATACACATAAACATAATTTCTCAGAATATTTACTATAAATAATATACTTTTAATGAAAACTAATGTTTTTTACAAAAATTAACTCACAGAATATCGGTAACAATATGCCACTAGTTTTAAGAGTCCCTAAATCCAAATGACTCTGGATTTTTAAACTCTCAGTGTCCAAGTCTCCAAGAATAAAGGGAAGTGGGCCTGATGGCCTGACTCAGCTCCAAACCAATCACGACTGGTGTCCCTGGCAATCAGTCCCCATCTTAGGTGCTTTCTGGAGAGATACTACATTAACACAACAAAAGACACTTCATCACTCTCATCACTTAGGAAATTCCAAGGGTTTTAGGAGCTCTGTGCCAGGAATTGGAATGAAGACCAAATACATACTTCATAGTATAAATCATAATATCACAGTCAGGCACACCCAAGAGAATTTATCTCCCCCTTTGATTAACTCAAAATCAACAGATTAGGGATCTTAATTACATCTGAAATATTCCTCCTCCTTTGCCACATGATGTAACACAAACATTGGACTGACATTCCAGTACCTTTGCTGTGTTCTTTTGGCTAGAAGCAAGTCTCAGATTTCACCCACATGCAAGGGGACCTTACAAAAGGGTGTGACTCATTGAGGGTCACCCTAGAATGTGTCCAATACAGGAAGGAAATAAATAAAATGTTGAACAGCTAGAAAAACAAACCTGAAACTTTCACTATCTTTGATGTTTCAGATTTGCAACTTGAAGGAGAACATGGTCTATCAGTTCCAAGTGGCAGCCATGAACATCGCTGGGCTGGGGGCACCCTCGGCAGTAAGCGCAAGCTTCAAATGTGAAGAGTGGACCATTGCTGTTCCAGGTAAGCCGTGAAAACCATGTCTCAGCACTGGGGCTCAGAGTTTCTTCCAATAGAACCTACAACTTGGAACTAAATTTAAGTACTACATAGACAGCTTCTAAGGGAAACCAATTTTCCTGGCCCCTCCGGTTTACATAAAATATTTTTACCATACTATACCATACTATTAAATAATAGGTATCAGTATAAAACTGAGTGTGAATTTCTTATACTTACATTTCAGATAAATCCTTGAGTCCCCATAGCTCAGCCTCTGCGTGGAGTAGAATTGATGGAAGCACAGTCTGAATGCCGCATGATCGTTTAAAAGGAATTCCAATCTTTGCTTGTGCTTCTCAAAGTCCAAAAAAGGGCACCCAGTTCACATCCCTCAGCAACATTGCTCAGAACTTCTTCCTGCACTCCCGAGTTCTCGTGCATTCACCCACTGCTCTGGAGCCTCTCATTAACAACCCAACGACTTTCCCCCAGCCCCAGCCTGTTCAATTCCTCAATTCCTTCCTTTCACAGATAAAGAAACAGACTCAGGTTAAATGGTCACACAGGTTGTCAGTGGCAGCTGGGATTGGAAGCTAGGTCTGCTCATTCCTTGACGACAGAGGGCAGGAAGCAGCAGCACTGGGTTCCTCGTCTGGAAAGCAGGGCTGGTGCTACCTGTTTGGACGCCTCTCTGGCTTCTGAGAATGACACAGGACAATAGTCGTAAAAGCCGTTTGCAAAACAGAACATGTCACACCAGTGTAAGGCACTGGTTATTCTTTAAACCCATTTCCAGCCAAGACATCTTCAGAAGACAAGCATAACTCATTATCTGTGACTGTTAAGCTGAGGTAAAGGGCCCAACAAACAGTGAGCAATTGGTTGCAAAATGCCCAAGCACGAGTCTGTGGTTGTGATTGGCTCGTAGGCCTCACTGTGAGTCAGTTTAGGGGATTTTGGTTGGTTAAAAATCACTTGTTATTTAAAAAAGAGAGAGAGAGAGAGAGAAAAGGAAAATAATTAACTCTGTCACCTGCTTGCATTGCAGCTGGTAGGCATGCAAAGATGCAGGCAATGACCAAGTAGCTGGGACTCTCCCAAAAGTGCCAAGAGCACACCCAGGGAGAACTTTGGCTTCCTTCCTGAACAGGTTGATCAAGTTTCTTAGCTTCTCTGAGCTTTCTTTGAATTGTCTTAGGGATGAACAAGACAAATGAATGTAAAGTACCTGGCATAGTTTAGCACAGATTCAGGGCCCATGAGATTGATTGCATTTATTTTGGTAAAAGTTCTTTGTAAACTGTAACAGTAGTTTGTTTTTACCCCTATATATAAACTTTATAGGGTTGATTTTCCTCCAGTGGGGAGCTATTTTGCAATACATTTATTTTTCCTTTGAAAAAAAATATTACTGTCTATATTCATATGCCATTGAATTGAGTTGCTTTCTTCATCCTCATTGAGACTAGGAGGAATTTTCAGAGTGTCATCCAAAAATAGCCTGAAACTGAATCTGCAGCCAAATTAAACTTCTCTGATACAAGGTGAGGAACACAAGCCCAAGGACACCCTGAAGGCAAAGCTTCATCCAGCCGCTGGAGGGTGCCTTGAACTGGCCTTAACCACTTGCTGCCCGTGAAGGCTCTTAATAGGCTGACGTAGAGCCATGGAGGACACGATGTGAAATGAGCACGAAATACCCGTTTCCATGGGAATGGTAGATTTCACAAAAGAATAACAGCAGCATCAGATTCAGCTTTAAGACCTTAAATGTGGTCCTAGATTTAACATCCTGGAGTTCTTATCTACATCATGATGTTTTACGCATCGGTCTCTCTCTCCCCCGCTCAGGACCACCGCACAGTCTCAAGTGTAGCGAAGTCAGGAAAACCTCCCTGGTTCTGCAGTGGAAGCCTCCCACCTACTCAGGACGGACCCCAGTCACTGGCTACTTTGTGGACATAAAGGAGGCCAAAGCCAAAGAAGACCAGTGGCGAGGACTCAACGAGGCGCCTATTAAAAACGTGTACCTGAGGGTAAGAGGATGCTCATCATCTGAGAAATCTTTTTTTGAAAAGGAAAAAGACTCGTGTAATGGTAACTTTAAAGTCAGCAGGATAAAACAGAGCATCTCAGCTTTGGTCTGTATCACGTTTGGGCGCCTGGTGGGATTTCATCCGGCAGTGGTTGGGGTTTGGAGAAGATAAAACAATTTGGTTGTAATTTAACCCGAATCCCTTAGCCTGGCTTTGGAAGACATCCCCCAGCTCCTTCCTCTCTCTTCTTCCCCTCCTCACCTCCACTTACCCACCTCCTACTTTTGTTCCTCAGTCTTAAGATGTTACTACTTACCATCCCCAGAAGGTGACTCTAATTTTTTGAGGGTGGATTTTGATTTGAGGGTGCTATTTCCATAATGCTGACTCCTGTAAGCCTTTAACTGCTGATCCTTTTGAGTCCTGCCCTGCCCCACCTCAGCTGCTGCCTCACGCCTGTGCTCCCGGGAGCTCTCGGAGCCCAGAAGAATGGCTTTGCTCAACTTCTGACCTTATCCTCACCCTTACATGCTCTTGCCTTCCAGATTCCTCTAGAGTGTTCCAGCTGAACCAGTATCTAACTCTGTCTACCAAAGACTGTCCTGCTGTAGCCACTGACTCTCTCCCTTGTACCAAATGGAAATCTCAAAAGAATGTTTTCCCCTATTGTCAGCAGGTGCATCTGGAGACCCTGAATCCACAATAGGGCCTCAGAAACCATGGGGAATGTGACTCCAGTTCTTACTACTTAGAGTGAAGTGTGGCCACATGACCACAGTCATAGAGAAGCTGCACAGTCATTCAGTGTCCAGCCCTGTCTGCTGGCAGAATAGGCCAGTGCCTAGAGGCTGGGCCTTGGAGGGTGTTCAGAGTATAGCTGGTTTAAGAGATTTCTCCTGTCAACCTGATACTGAGGACCAAAGTCCAGACCATTTGTCAGCCGCTCTCTGGGGTTAAGGCATTTATAGTCCCTATAAAAAAGGTATATATATTCTCTAGGAGAGATAACCCTTAAACCATTACATCCAACGTGCCATTAACTCAGCTCAGCACATGCCAAAGAATTCTCCAGGCCCTTACAAAACCACGAGGAGATAAGGAAGGCCGCATTATGTGGGGAAGAGAAAAGGTCAAGGGAGGTCTGGAGCCTAGAATGCTGTTTGACTGTCTCGATAAGTCAGGAGGCTCTTAGATAGAAAGAGACCCCCGAAGGCCAGTGTGAAATGAAGGTCGGACACATCCGAGGTGGTGGTGGTTTGTGTTAACGGCCACGATGATTTCCAGATCCTCAGTCTGCCACAGCACAGGATCCAAGAGCTTGAGCTTGAGGTTGGACCTGACTCACATGAAGCAAAACAAGGGTGAGAAGCTGAGCAAAGGGGACCGTGAGCCCATAAAAAACAGGCAGGAAGAAAAAGTAATAGAATTTAAACACACCAAACAATGGTTAATGTCACTCATTAAAAAAAGAAGAAGAAGAAAAGCAAATTTAGGGGAGAGAGAGAGTCATGGGGTGTCCCTCCCAAAATGGGAGATGAACTTCCTGTAAGGAAATGACCTTACAGTTTGGCCACAGTTTTTACAGTGAAAATAGAATTATTGATTTTTCTGGTTATGAAACTGACATATGCTCATGTGACATATTCAAACAATAAAGGCATAAAGAAGAGAAGTGAAGATGTTCTATAATCCTCCGACCCATTTTGATGTAGACTCACTCTTCCAGATGTTTCATATTCAGAAAATTTTCAAGCCTGAAATGGAGACAAAATGTACTCGTTAAAAAGTGTCGTCTGGCAAATGTAAGTGAGGGTAGGAGATCTAGCTCCAGGAACAGATTTTAGCATCACTGCCCCCGAGCACCATGGGTTAACTGGTTTCTTCTGGAAGCGTCCCTGTTCACATTAGCACCTCTGGGGATTCCTAGAGAGAGTTAAATGTGCATTACCTTCAGCCAAAAGGTTTAACCAACAGAGCTTATACTTCCTAATTACAGTCTGTGAGACAACGTGGTGAGAAGGGAGTGAGTCATTGGAAGGGGCGGGAGACATGGATGGAGGAGGCAGGGGAATGCAGCTCCTTCAGAAGTTATAAGGAAGGAAAACAAATCCAAAAAAAGGAAAATAGACGTGATGTGTGCCTAGATCATGCATCTCCAGTGCTTTAAGCCAGCAGTCATCACCCCTGAGGTGATGGAAGAGTGGGGGCTGTCCCTGTCACCCCAGCGACTAGACTCTGGGGTGTGGATTCACTTCCTGGGCCGTGTTGCAGAACTCTGACTCATGGCCGCGTATACCTAAGTGGCAGGTGCAGATGTGGCAGGCACCCAGCAACTGGCCTATTTTTATCATAAGAAGGAAATGTTCCTGTGTCTTTTGGTAAATCCACGGTTGCCTGGCATTACTTCTAAATGTAGAAATTAAATACATCAAACCCTATGCATTTAGCCTATGCTTAAATTCAAGTTCATTTACAGATTAAAATCCATTCAAAAATCCATTAGTCCAGTGAAAGCTATCGCTACATAAATAGTGACATCCTGTTGTCATAAACACAATTCAATTAAATAATTAGATTAAAAACCCAGCAGTTTAATACATAGCTCTTTTAAATGCATGGCCACAAACACTTCATTGAATACATGTATTCTGGCTTTGGTTCAAATTACATTTTCAATATTAATCTCCACCACAGCATTATGGGAAAAAATTGTGTCTTCTGTGTGTAATAAATTCCTTCTTAAAATACAATATAGCTTTTAAAAGGCACATGTTTTAAAAAGAAAAAGATAATTTTTTGTGAAATATTAACAGTATTTATAATAGTAATGAGACTGTGCTGAACCCAAAGAAGGTCACAAAAAATTATGAAGTGGGACTGTCATATAAAAACTGTAAATATTGTTTACTTTTCTTGTGTTCTTATAACTCTAGCTCGGTGGCACACGTGTCACAGGTCCTCAGCAGACAGCTTCCTGATTATTGAAAATGGAAGAATTGGGAATTTGGGGACATTTTGACTGTTCACAAATTACTAAAATTCACAGTCATGTTCATTGCTTGTCTACTTAGTGGGAAATAGCTATATTAAGTTCACCAGGACAGTTCCTGTTTGTTTCTGTTCTAGTGCTTTTAAACCAATGGAAAGTGACCCATGATCCATGCTTATAATTCCCCTCTCTCTTGCCAGAAATGTTATCTGAAATTACTCATGAAATGTCTCAAAAGGCTCAGGGAAAAAAGGGCAGCATCTGTGCTCTTATGAGCACTTTGTATTTTGTCTTTTGACCAAAGAATAAGGTGGCTAACTCCTTTGAAGCAAACTTGCATCAGTCTCCTGTTCCTGCTGCTTGTGGTCATTAAATTGTCTAAAAAAGAAAGAACACCTGAGTTGCAGGGGATCTTGGGATTGTCTCCTTACAGTGGTACAAAGAGAAGGAGGTCTTGGCTAAAGCCGCGCGCTTAGCCTTTGAAGGAGTCAGGTTGAGAACCCACACCCTGTGCCCTCTGTGCTGTATAACTAAGTCGCCACCGCAGGGGAAGGGCACTTGTGTTCAAATGATGCAGAACGCCCATCACTTCTACACCTGTTTCTTCCAGGTGCAAGGCCTCAAAGAAGGTGTCAGCTACGTGTTCCGAGTCCGAGCCATGAACCAGGCAGGTGTCGGGAAGCCGTCCGACCTGGCTGGGCCTGTTGTGGCAGAAACCCGTCCAGGTGGGCCTTTACTTTTTCACTAAAGTTAACCTCATCTCTGTAAGATACCAAAGTAACATTCAACCTTACTTCTGTGCTTTTCCTCATTTTCAAAATCATCACTGTATGCCACCCGAATGATGGGTAAGTGTGACCGTGGGACACGACAGTCATTTACTCCATCACAGGCCCTCAGGGCAGCAGTGGAGCCAGGTGGGAGGTGGTCCAGGGCTACTCTGGTTCATCCTCAGAAACAGGGAAGTTCCTGATCAAATTATGCTTCCTGGACACACTGTTTCAAGCATACATTCCTGGGACGTTATTCCTATTACACTGTGGCCATTTACTCCCACGAGAATGTTTTCCCATCGCAGAGGAAGCTGGAACAACCCAGTTAGCAGGCATGATCTTTAAACAAAAGTAGGATTTATATCATTGTAGCTACTAAGTTAAACCAGAGGTCAGCAAACTTTCTGTGAAGGCCAGACAATAAATATTTTCGACTCTGTGGTCATGTGGTCCCTGTCACAATCCTCAACTCTGCCATGGCACCAAAGCAGCCCTAGACAATGCGTAAATTAGTGAGCATGGCTGTGTGCCAATAAAACTTTATTGTGTGTGTTCTGTGCATTGTGTAATATGATGCATTACATCCAGTATGAAATTTGAACTGTAACTAGTTTTCACATGTCTTGAAATATTAATCTTCTTTTGATTTTTTAAAACTGTTTTAAAATGTAAAAACCATTCTTAGCTTGCAGGCTATACAAAAAGAGATAATGGGCCAGATATAGCCCACAAGCCATAGTTTGCTGACCCCTGGGTTAAGCTAACAGCGTTCCTAACTGAATGATCTACACAGCTGAGGCAGCCCTCAACTTCCCAGCTTTACGACGCCGTGATTGGACTAGGAAAGATAGTCTTTCCCTTTGTTATGAGAACAAAGTTTACAGTGTTCACTGTGCAAACAGTTTCAGGTCATTATGTAACACTTATTTTGTCATTTAATCTCTATCACTTTTCAAAGTTACACATTTCAGTTCATTAAAGTTGTATGAAAGAAAGCACTGGAAATGAGAGAGGATTTAAAAAGTATTAACTAGTTATTTTAAGTTTATGTTCATTGTAGTCCAAGGACTCTCACTATTTTCAGATTGAAATAAAAAGCAGACACATAATGTGACATTTGTTTTTATGGTGAGAAGAGCATGTAAACATAGGAAACTCTGCCCTCACTTCCTGCTACTTTAAAAGTACAGTAAAGGTACCCTTTGAGGAGGTACCTGCCCCTTGCATCCTATTACTTCATAGCCTGCTTTCAGCTAATCTTGTGACTATCCCAAAGTGTGGCAGGTGTGTCTGGAGAGAGTGCATTACCTCATGTAAGTATGCAAAACTTCACGAGAAAACAGAGGAATGCTAGGGATGTGTATACCAGGTAAAAGGTGACACACAAAGAGATGAGGACACATATTCCTATAGAAGTCAGACCCTCCAGGTGCCAACTGTGTGGAAATACAAGGTGCCAAATGGACATGCGGAAGGGCCCAACTAGGAGTCTGCCCTGTAAGAGTATCTAGATTATGTACAAAAAAACTCTTGATCTAGTCATTGATAAGTTAAAAGCACCCTTTTAAAGCAGTGGAACCCAAATCTGATTGAAAAAAGCTTAAATTGATTTCTTGTTTTCTCATCAGTCACCTCAGAATGGCAGGT